GAGTTCAGACTTCGGAGTTCGGATTTCAGACTTCAGAGTTCAGAGTTCAGACTTCGGAGTTCGGATTTCAGACTTCAGACTTCAGATTTCAGATTTCAGAGTTCAGACTTTAGACATAATAAAAAGCCACGTCATTACACGTCATTTCCGCACTTTCAGTTCAGTGATTAGTACGCCATGGGAAAGGGCATGTATTCTTGGATGTTATTGGTAAGTTATATATTAGTACATTGTCTTTGTATTTGGCAAATTATATTTGTATGGTTGAGTTCATTTTAATACATGTTATTCTAGAATGTAATAAAATTTCTTACAATTAGAATACTGTTTTGTTTGATGATAAAGTTGGTAAAATGTTATCAAACTTAGCCTCGAGGCACCAGTAATCAGACGATTAATACACTTACTTCCCTGCATAGAGAAAACAATGGGATATATTGTGTATTTCTTTTGTTTTTCTTTTTGTAAATTTTTACTATGGACGACAACAACCATGTTCTCAAGTCATATTTATTATCTCCTTTGGGCATCGATTTTAACGTCAAAATAAAAAACTTCAAACCAATTGTCCCTTCTCAAAATGATGACCTAATGATAATTGGTTCCTGTCGATAATTGGTCCCTTTACGCTAAATGATAAATCGTATGTTTTACAAAGTTTCTTTTATTTTGATCATTTTCAGATCTTTATACTATGGTCTTGTTCTATTGTCGATCCAGTACTTGCTGTGTTGCCAGTTGACAAGCAAAGAACTCAGGTGTTTCAAGTAAAGTTGGATCTAATACAGCATTACTTCTGTCGTGGATACAAGTACAAGGAAATTTTAGCTACACTTTTGGTCATTCATGGAATAAGAATAAGTTAAAGACAATTAAAACGACTGTTAAAGCGAATGAGCTTATTTAGAAGAGGTCCAGAGTCTCAAATTGAAACGATTATAAGTGCCATTTTAAAAGAAATATCTGGAAGTGGTCGATGTTTGGGTTATAAGACTATGTGGAGGCGGCTAAAAGATTTCTATGGATTACATGTACGTAGAAAAACTGTTCTTCGTTTGATGTGGATAGCGGACCCAGAAAGATTATATGGCTTGAGTTGGGTCCAAGCAATAACGATCCAAAAATAATAGCTCGATATTTTCTAAACAGTGTAAAGGAAAGTGGTGCTTGCAGAGTTCCAGCAGTGATACGCAGTGATCTGGGTACAGAAAATACAATAATTCGACAGTTGCAAATATATTTCCGTTTGCACCACCATGATGATCATTCAGCTGGAAAAGGCTTCATTCAAGGTAAAAGTACCTCAAATCAAAGAATAGAATCCATGTGGAGCATGCTTAGACGTCAGTGCATGGACTTTTGGATAAGTTTTTTCAAAGACTTGCGAGACACAAGTATCTATTGCGATGGTGATATGTTCCAAAGACAATGTTTAATGTATTGTTTCACACCTGTTATACGAAGTGAATTAATTAAATTTACGAATGAGTGGAATTCACATGATATTTCTAAGGGGAAAACAGATGGACCACGAGGTAAACCTGATATCATGTATACATTACCTGAACTATATAACACTAAGAATTATAGCCACAACGTTAACAAAGAAGAAGTTGATGTATGTACGGAAATATATTCGAAACCACCTAACCTTGAAGGCTGTTTTCCTGAATTCTGCCGATTGTTCAAACTTGTTAACCCGACAACGCCGACCACAGCAGAGGAAGCATTTGATCTATATCTAGAAATAATTTCGAAGATTCGAAATTATCTATAAAACGAAATAAAATTTGACTTAACTAAATTGCATCATTCTGAACCCACATTTTTAAACTTGACCTGAAGATCATTTAGATACAGTATAAATATAGAGGATATCACATGAGTGTCTTTTCATATTGAATTTATTAAATGAGTTTGATAAAATGATGGATTACGGGGCTCGGTCGAGCATGTTATCGTCAATGAGTTTAATAAGTTCAATGTTAAAAGACACGAATGTAATATTCTTTAATATCACATGTTAATTTAAAGGGGATGTCTTCCAGAATATGAGTATTTTTCTTTTCTTCGGGAAATTTATTTCTGGACACACTGAGATCGTAAGAACAAACTATTGAATAAACTGAATTTAATAAATAAAAGAGTGTCACCAGCATGGCTCGAACTCACGCATATAGTTCCAAACTCCTGACGCCTCGACAGACTGCGTCACAATAACTGTTGATTAAGACGGAACTAAATTCAATTTTATACAAATCAACTTATACCGTAGCGCTACGCTATAGATTTAAAGGTGTTAATTTACAAAATACAATTTGTAATGTGTTTATTTAGTTCATTCCTTGACAGTAACTTACTTACATATCCCTCTTCATAAATAGTACAAGAAATTTCATATACAAAATTGTTTTCAAAATTCATTTTTTCAGCCATCCGGTAGACAACACCTTTAAGTTTGATATTGAACTACTGAGCATTTGTCATTTCTGGTCCTAAATTAATGCTGTGAATTCAGCGAACGTCCGCACACAACAGATGAAGTCGACGCCAAAACGATATTACTCAAGTGTAAAATAGAAAAACATGGTTACTTCACTCCCGCGACATCAAATGTGATAGACAAGGTTTATTAACATTGTTGCAATAATTAAATTCTTGGAGTGATTTAAACGTCAAAATGATAATGTTTGCCAACTGTTTGATTCACCTTAGTTACATCAAATGAAACATTTTGGTAAGCAAAAATTGTCACTTTTTGGAAAAAAAATTTAATTACGTGTATCTATTTTTTACAGCGGGAAAAATGAACTTTTGGCTACTAAAACAAAATTTTTCAAAATATTTTTTTCAAAAATGAAATAAGATCAAAATGATGTATAACTAAATATGAAAGAGGTGGATCAAACAGTAGTTTTCAATGTCTCTTTGACCTAGTTCTATTTTTTATACCGCCTCCGTGGTCAAGTGGTTAAGGTTGACTTGTATTTACTGATATCCCCTGATTTAGGTGTCACGGGTTCGAGCCTTGCTACAGTCTTCTTTGTGCGAGAGGTTGATGCCTAGTGCTTTTTTCCACCAAGGAACGATGGAAAGGTAAACTTAACCCCTTTATATCACTAGAAAATTGTTGAAACGGGCGTTAAACAAATATCAAATCACATCAATTTGGCCTAGTTCTTCGAACTTAACACGACTCATTTTCGATCTTGGCTTTATCTAGTTACATTTTCTGACTAGCGTTGATAAAAAATTAATGCATTTATGAAGTTGCTTGAGTGACAATAAGCTTAAAATGGTCATTTTTGCAATTTGCACGGTTATGTTGACCCAGGTTTAGACCATAGATGATCCATTTTTAAACTCTACCTGAAGTTCGTCTATAGTGTCCAAATAATTCGTGTACCTAACCTAGGCTGTTTCTGTACTTTAAGTTTGAAGAAAAACAGCTGTCTATCTTTTATTGGAAAACCAACTAATAATGTGTCTTCTGAAACTGTGTTCTTTTCTATTAATTGCATTTCCAGTATATAGAGTAGTTGCTAAGCAACGGGCTTAAGTCCCTTCTCGAACAAGACACACGGACAAAGGTGTGGCGCTCCGTTCAGACACAATGAATACGTAAATCCCCGCTATTCTTCAACTGAGACATCATCACAGTTACGTGTTGGTGCATTGGTAAGTGTTTAGTGTTCCGGACTACAAATCCAGAGGTCCCAGAGTCGAATCCTGGTCAGGGTATTGGAAATTCAGAGAAGCTTTTCAGTGTTTTCCACTAATATCTAGATATAGAAAGTACGAAACCCAGCTGTAGTGTAGCACGTTAAAGAAGCAATGGGTCTATTTGTAACGACGAAGAACTACTGCTACGAGTACTACTACTATTACTACTGCTACTACTGCTACTACTACTACTACTGATACTGCTACTACTACTACTACTACTACTACTACTACTACTACTACTACTACTACTACTACTACTGCTGCTACTACTACTACTACTGATACTGCTACTACTAATGCTACAGCTGCTACTGCTACTGCTACTACTGCTACGAGTACTGCTACTACTACTACTACTGCTGCTACTGCTACTGCTACTACAAATGCTACTGCTGCTACTGCTACTGCTACTACTACTACTAATGCTACTGCTGCTACTGCTACTACTGCTACTACTGCTACTACTACTCCTACTACTGCTACTACTACTACTACTACTGCTACTACTGCTACTACTGCTACTACTCCTACTACTACTGCTACTCCTGCTGCTCCTGCTACTACTACTGCTACTCCTACTACTAATCCTACTACTGCTACTACTACTACTACTACTGCTACTACTACTACTACTGCTACTACTCCTACTACTACTGCTACTCCTGCTACTACTGCTACTACTACTGCTACTACTACTGCTGCTACTACTACTGCTACTACTACTACTACTACTACTACTACTACTACTACTACTACTACTACTACTACTACTACTGCTACTACTACTACTACTACTACTACTACTGCTACTACTGCTACTACTACTACTGCTACTGCTACTGCTGCTGCTACTGCTACTGCTACTGCTACTACTACTACTACTGCTACTCCTACTACTAATCCTACTACTGCTACTACTACTACTGCTACTACTACTACTGCTACTACTCCTACTACTACTGCTACTCCTGCTACTACTGCTACTACTACTGCTACTGCTGCTCCTGCTACTACTACTGCTGCTACTACTACTGCTACTACTATTACTACTACTACTACTACTAGTACTACTACTACTAGAATAGAGTACTCTTACTAGTACTACTACTACTACTACTTTACTAGTACTACTACTACTATTGGTACTACTACTACTACTACTACTACTACAACTACCACTAGTACTACTAGTACTAGTACTAGTACTTCTACTACCACTACTACTACTACTACTTGGCAGGTGAGCTAGAAAACAGACAAAAGGACAATGTTAATTGCATCAATTAAAACTTGTTTATTAAAATTTCTGGCTTTAACAATTAACTGCAATAAAAATCTGAATTCAGAAAATACATGTATTCAAATATTTTTCACAACTTTAATTACATATGGCATATTGCCTGCTCTCAAGTTAAACAAAAGGCCCATAAAAGCCCGAGAGGGCACTAGAACCTTACCCTGGCAGCCATGATTTCCTAAGAGCTATGTGCAATGGTGGAGCAGGTCACCTTGTGTGTTATTGTGCAGGTAAAACGGCCAAGTTCTGCTTTAATTAGGGTGCATCCTGCAAATGTACTTTCTTAGAAATACTCAAATAAAAGAGAAAAAAAAAAACTTTTAAAACAGGTAAAACTAAATGAAAAGTTTACTCATAATAAGTAAATGTGCTAATAATAATTAACATTTCAATTAAAACAAAAGCAGATCATCTTGTGTGTAATTGTGCAGGTAAAAAGGCAAGGTCTGCTTTAATTAGGGTACATCCTGCAAATGTACTTTCTTAGAAATGCTCAATTAAAAGAGTCAAAATTAAGTCTTAAAACAGTTGAAACAAAATGCAAAGTTAACTTATAATAAGTAAATGAAAATGTATTTGGCATGTCTAAAATATTGTGACCTACACTTGAAAAAGTCCTGCACTTGAACATTGATTAAATTTTAATGTAACAAAAAACTTACAATGTAAAAATCATTATAATTTCAATTTGTAAAATACCAGAAAAAACGTGTATATACATTGTTTCAAATACTTGACAGTCTTTGTGTAGGCACAATTTTGTTGTATCATAATTTTGCAAGGTGGCAACAAAATAGAATTTTCTGGATACAACTCTCACACGGCTGATCAACTTTACTGCAATAATTAACGCAAGATCAAAATGGGCATTGGGATTCAACTAAGTTACATGTACCTGAGGTTACAATGGAATTTTGCATGTTTAGCATGATCATTTTCAGTAGTACATTTTTTCTCCTGATGTCTAATCAGATGTACTATTTGCAGTTATGGTCTAATAAGGAAATTCGGTAATTGGATGATTAAGATCTTCACTTTTTTGTATTTTGACAAAACAACAAATCAAAGCATGGTCATCATGTTGCTATACACAGTTTGTCACATATTATGTCTACTACTGAATACATTTCTTTGTACACCTCAAACATTTAGAATGCAGATGAGCTACTATTTGTACAATATCAACTGCAGATATGCGGCTATCTTTATGATATGATAAACATTTCTGGACAAGGTCCAAAATCACTGGTGGCATACTCTCTGGAACATGGCGAAGAGCATGTGGCTGTTCCTTCTTTTCAACAAGACTTTGAAGAATTACCATATCCTCTTGTTCAGATTCATCATTTTCCATTGCACTAGACTCAAGGTCCCAGATATCATGTTCTGTAAATAGTTCTAAAATTGTGCATGCAAACGACCATATGTCTGAGGCTGTGGTTCCCTTTGATTCTTTTAAAATACACTCTGGAGCCATGTAGATTGGTGTGCCAATTGGTGTGCCAATTTTATTTAACCTCAGCGAAGAACATTGACTAAAATCATAGTAAAAAATAAAAATATATAGATCTAAATAAATAATGAAAAAACAAAAGATGAATTGCACGTCGCCATGATGAAACAATAATTGAATGGTTAAAATGTTTTCTTTTAATTAAAACTATATACTCGTATACTATCTTTACGGAATATACTGTTTACACTGAAAAATAATATAAAATGTATAGCTCCAAAGAATCAAGTTCACCCAGAAGGGATGATTGATAAATCTAGCAACAATTTTTATAAAACACACTTACTTTTAATCGTTTTTTCCGGCTGTTTACTCGTCAAAAAGGCGCGACAATAGTATGACGTCAGATCACGTGATTAGAGTTCAGACTTCAGAGTTCATACTTCAGAGTTCAGACTTCTTCATACTTCAGAGTTCAGACTTCAGATTTCAGACTTCGGAGTTCAGATTTCAGACTTCGGAGTTCAGAGTTCAGACTTCGGAGTTCAGATTTCAGACTTCGGAGTTCAGAGTTCAGACTTCGGAGTTCAGATTTCAGAGTTCAGACTTCAGACTTCGGAGTTCAGAACACCTTTAATGCTATATGTATAAAGCATTATGTATGAAATCTGAAGTCTGAAGTCCGAACTCTGAACTCTGAAGTCAGAAGTCACCACCGGTCTTTCGTAGAATAATGACATCGAATATTACTGCTAAAATAAACAGTCGAATAATGCAGATTTAAGAGAGTGCTACATGGTTATACTATATTTAAAACTCAACATTAAAAAGATTTGAATCAATAATCTCGAATAATAATGAACACCGAGATAAAAATGTATAACAATTTAATATATTAACATAAACAAAACTAGCAAAGACTTACAATTTACAGACACGGTGTAACTATCAAATTTAACAATTAAATTCGACAATGTAAATTGCAACATTTCAAACCCCTATAGCACCGACTAAAGCGGTATTTCCTAATGAACGAGAAAAAAAATAACAACACCTAAATAAAGTACGGGGCAATTTTATACAGTAGCCACATGATGATTTGAATAATATCAAGGTATTTTTATTTAAGATGCTATAAGTGTTTATCATTTTACTTTAAGTATATTATCTATTTATTTTATACACGGCTAAACAAACAAGTTTTGAACAGCAGTAGTCTAAAGAATAAATATTGAAATATGACGCCAGTTGAAACATTTGAAATTCGAGCAATTGTTTAAGTTTGCGAACAAGTTGAGGACACTCCTTCAGCTGATACAAGAAGATGGAATTAAGAAAGAAAAATGTAATTGGTTATCATGCGACTCGTTTTCAGCGAGCGCAAGCAATTCAAATGCAGCAAGTACAAGATAAGAGACAGGACGAGGCGATGGAAAAAGCGGCAAAAGCCGTACAGGAAAAACGACAGTATGAATAGTTCTCGAGCTTATCGGCATGTTTAATTTCTGCATGGTTCTATATATTAAATTCTGACAATACTATTGATTTTAAACAATATTCTATTTTATTTATCTGCATATATGCGAATTTGCAACATATTGTGTTTTCACGGTACACAGTTATATAAGTATTATTCTCGTTTATGTTTTATAAATGCTAGCTCGTGTTCAAAAACGATACTAAGGAGAATATTTTCAATTAATATTTTTTCTTTACTGTATATAATCACATATTGTTTAAAGATCGGACGATGGCGCTTATAAATTTATACCATAACTGACTTATGTAATTCATAATTCGAATCTATGTGCGTTGAGTGCCGATACTACTTAAAATACTCATGATAAAGAGAGGAGAGCGGCTGACTATCGCACCTTTATGTGAAGCCTGGCCTGGGTCCAGTCTGTCGATTTTGATATGCTTCTGTTCAACATATCGGCAGCCTGGGGAAATACAATTTTGATCGAAGCGCGACCTAGTATTCATCCTAAAATTAAGGGAGTAATTTAAAGAACAATAACTCATGCAAATACAAACTAGTTTGTAAAAATAGAAACGGAATTTCCACGAAGTGACCCGAAACCCAACGAACAGTCAGGGAGCCTCGCATTCATAACAACATTTCTGATTAAAATTGAGAGTTTTGACACTCGTTGATATAGTTTATTGCATGATGCGTGAATTTGATCAACATGTTTGATTAGTTAAAGACAAATTCCGTGTGAATAAAGTCTAACGGCATCAGAGAAATGTGGTGGACATGGTAAATGACGTCAAATTTTTATCATTCGAACCTTCAGTTCGATTTGGATTTAGCCATATGTTTTGTTGGTCACGTGCTAATCGGTGTATTAGTATGATTATCATTAGTCAATAATTACATGGGATTACACGATTTAGTATTAAATAACGCGAATGTTATGAAATAGCAAAAACAATCAACGCCTACATCCCAGGCTACTTAATGTTGAGAATGGAGCAAGAACGTGATTGCTTTCTGTATCACCATAACAACCACAATCTGGTTATTGGTATATTATCCTGATTAACGTTCCTTCGAAATCAGATTTGTAAATTTAGTTTTCAATGGTAGGATATACAAAGATATATTTAAAAAAAACATCTTAACACAGCAATGTGCTTTCAAAATCTGTAGATATTTAGGTACGAGTGGGGGCATTTCTGAAATCGAGTCCGAGTGGGTTCATTTTCCATTTTTATAAAAAAAAAAAATAAGAAAAACTGACTTTTGAATAGAAATATTTGAAACCAATATAGAAAATGTGTAAACATGACTCGGTTTGTGTTCCGGTACGTTAAAAAAATTAAGAAGGTTTTAAACCTTATTTCTTATATGTGTCGGGAAAAGTCAGCGTGGTAGCAATCAGAGAAAAAACACTTATCCCGTTTTCAGGCCTAAACCAGGCAATAAATCTATAAAACTTTTACAATTATCTCAAGTACTACAGCAATTCTTTGGTTCACTACATGATTTTTTATACTCTTACGTTTTCTTAAAATAAAATTGTATTTTACCTTCGAGTCGACGGATTTTCTGCAAAAAAATGGTGCGAGTGTGAGCATTTAGCAGGTGCGCGATGATGTAGTATCCTACCATTGGTACATACGCTCCAGTTAAAATAAATAATAAGAGTTCATTGGGAAAAACATTTGCAACTGTCATAAACACCGTAAGATATCTTTTTGTGTGGTTTGTTATTACACATATAACAAACATGAGGTTATCCCGCCGTGTACATACAAACATTGTTCATATAAAGTCTTTTTTCTCTAATACACTTTAAATGCTTTTATAACTGAAATATTTTAGTTTAAACTCTTTCCGTGTATAGATCATTGTAATATCCAGGAAGAAAATGCGCTACGGACGTTTTTCATAAATATTTTGTCTTCAGTGTAATAAGTCATACTAACGTTAATGTTTAAAGATACGCATTTTGTTAAGTAATTGCACATTTATTGACGTCTGAAAGTAACTTGATGACATCAGAATAAATTACACTGATACTAGAAAATCAATTTGCTCCTTATGAGATTTGATTTTACAAATAAGAAAAACAAGAACAGAAAAGTTTTTTAATTTGTTGAAACAGTAGTTTTTTGTTACAATGTATGGCAATCAAAATTTTGAATTATCTTACTTAATATTTGTTAATTCGAGTATGAATCTCTCTGTACTTCTTTGAAAAAGTTCCCAGTTTCAAAAGTAACAAAGATACTCGATGATAGACATTTAATGTTATGTTTATCAAAACCATCTGTCTCAAATGCAAAGCAAATATAAAAACATTGGAATTATAGAAAACCATTAGCTGGCAACCTCTTAAGATTGAAGTTAAATATTTACTTTGTTTCATAAGAAAAGAGCTGTTTGTACATAAATGTTCTTATTAACTGATATTGCTGATATATGTCCATTATAACATTTGTTGTTATGCAACGATTTTAAATCGTGAAGAAAATATTTATGTTGAGTTGTTCACATGCGACAAAAGGCAAATAGAATTTAACTTGATATTCTGATTTTATAACTCATCCCGATTTGCATGACATTGGTCCGTCATGTAGGACAATGTCAGTTGTCGCCCCATTTTAAGAACATTTTACTCTGAATATCATATCAAACATATCATATGTTTGTATTAATAGCTGTTTTCTTCCTTTATTTGTCTTTAAAATATTTAGAAAATAAACCTGCAACAAACTGTCATGAAAGCCATGATATATAATTGATCGGAAATTAATGTCTGATAGATTTTGTCAAAACTACAGAATTGATATGAATATTAAATGGATGTTGATTTATTAGATGTATGGCAACTAGGATTCAAAGTATGTAGCCGGCACACGCTTTTTATTACTTGGGGACCATACGTCGCTTTTCATGGAATGGCACGGAAGTGTCACATTGAAGGTTCCATGATAACCGCCGTATGAACACATCTGCGGATGTTTCTAAATTCAAAATTTTACTATTTCACGTTTAAATGTTGAATTCTGCTTAAGCCGGTGCTAGGGGGCGTGGACGGTAACTTGCACTTTCCAGTACCGTCCATGAACAGGCTCAATCAAACCGAGCCTGCAACATTTTCAATTTTGCTGTGTTGGGCTTTCTTTAGGGATTCTGTATTTATCTATATTATTTGATTACATGTATTAAAATTTTTGTCATAATTTAATGAAAACAATATTTAATGAATATTGATGATCTTCAAACATTTACATGTGCATCTACAATTCTCAGCGTAAAATATCCAGAAAAAATTGCTTATTCGATAAGTTAGGTAGCAGTTGTGCTGCTTAAGATTTTAATTTATTTGTCAAGTTTAGAATGTGAAGCAGTTCATATTGAGCTTGATGATTCCAGAACCAAATTACTTAAATAAAGTGACAAGCAAAAATGAGGGATGATTTTGGTTTTGTTTGTTGGCTAAGAGGCTATATGCCGTTGACCCGTATTTTCGGGGGTTTAACGTTTTAAATTTAAGCTACCGTTTTTAGATTAATAACAATTGGAAGAGAAAAAACATCAACAGCAAGTAACAACTATGTCAAACGAAAAGAAACCCGTTTAAAATACGAAAATTAACCATTTAATAATGAAATCCTAACCTTTCTACTTTCACAATCGATAGTCTGTGTCGCTCGGAAGCTGTCTCATATTTTCGGGGATTCTGATTGGATGGCTTCGTTTCGGTAGTAACGCTGCACGCGCTCAAATTCTATACTGCACTCAGTTCGTTCGAGACATTGGTTAAAGTAAGGCATAGGGCTCAGTGATGAATTTTTAGGCGAAGATACTTTTTGTGTTCTTTATTGTTGCTACATGTAGTTGAAAATACGTTAAAAACGGGGAAAGAAATAATTAGAATTGTAATAACATTAACAGAGAACATGAAAATCTTTTGACTTTCAACATATATTAACTTTAAAGGACTGCGAAATCTAAAAAAAAATTAAATTAACTAAATGTACTGCTAAACATATCTAAACAGAGCAATGAGGACAAAGAAAAGTGGAATGGCGTCTGACAGCTCTAACTGTAGTGCAGAACGACAGGTGCGTCCAATGTCCGCAAACATCGCACGGGCCAATTAAAGATCTTTAGCATAGGGCAAATTGTGCAGATTTTGGGGCGACAGTTCTTTCACAATCAGCATTGACACGCCAAATCGTCTTCGTTTAAAAAAAACTCTAGTGGCAAGTTTCTGGCTTGGAAAACCCCTGGTTAAGTATTTTAAAATGTTGCCCGTGACTTATTGACGTGGTTTAGTGGCTGGCTTTTGGCGAACAGGTGTACTCTGAGCTCGTTGCTGTGAATATTCGTCAATTTCTGTGACATAGTCTTCGTTAGTGATAGCTCTACCGCCAGCATCTGGCCTGGTGTCTTTGGCGACCTTATATTTAGAGCATGACAATGCGTTGTTGGACTTATTTTCTTCCTTCTGAATGAGGAATGACTCGGCCTCTGCTTTGCCTGTCTTTAAAGACTTGACTTTCTGCACTGGTTTTTCTTCCCGAAAGCTTTCACAAGGAAATAACTTCTCCATAGATACGACGGCCGGGTCTATAGGGAATATGCCTGTCTTCCGGAAAGCTGACTGGATGTTCGACGGTGACATAGCTCGTGTGTAAGCTTTACAAGCGATACTGCAAAGCTCATACCTTGTGATAATCTGACCAATATGCCTGCTCATGAAACTGGAACATTCCGAATAATAATAATTCTTGAAGGGCCCAAATACGGCAACATCAAGTGGTTGTAGCATGTGCGAGGTATGAGCTGGCAATAGAAACAGTATCAGTCCTCTTTCCCTAGCCCAATTAATAAGTTGTGGGGATTTTTGCGAACTGTGATCGTCATAAATAAGAAAGATTTTCTGTTTGTCTGCTGGGCAGATTTTGGCATATGGCAGAAAATGCTCTTCCAAATATTGCTGGAATATAGCAACGTTTGACCATCCAGAGTCTGACATGGCCCACCTTAGCGCCAAAAGAGCTGCCTTTCATCATATCTGGGTTGATATGATTTTTTCCCATTGAAAAAAAAGAAACGAGGTAGCGACTGACCAAAGGCGTTCACACATCCAATTAGAGTTGTAGTAGAGCTTCTCGGTGAAGTGATGGCCTGACACTTAGAATTTGAATTAGCAACAACATTATATGGACGGTGGTCTGGCTGCAAGCCGGTCTCATCAAGGTTGTAGATGTGTTGTGGTTTGTCCAACAAGTTGTGTTGTTTGAGAACCTCCTCCAGCTTCTTGAAATAGCCGGTCACCTTCTCTGGTGTAGAAGACTTTGCTCTCGAGCTTTCTAATTTCCTAGGCTTTATGCTCGAGAGCCGTCCCTTCCATCTTTTCAAAAACCCATACAACCAATTGTTGCTCATAGGCTTGATGTGCACTTTGGCTTTCATTTCATAAGCCATCTCTCCTGCCAGCTGCTTCAACTTGCTGTTGGAATATCCGTATCCCAGCTCTGCCATAGTCTCGACATGATTGACAAGGACTTCTTCCTGTTCATATGAAAGGGAGGTGTTTGGGCCAGTCCTACAATTATCGGGATCAACGGCACCAGATATGCGATCTCGGAGAGTCTGAGCGGGTACGCCAAACATACGGGCTGCTTTCTCTACCGGAATAGATTTGTATTTGACCATTTCATAGGCTTTTTTCATACTTTCTGGGGAATATCTCCTGTATTTCCCAGTTATTTTTGTAGGATTTCCCTGGAAGAAAGGGTGTTGAAATATTAGGAAAACACTTGTTTTATCTGGAATATTAATTTTGTTTTCTTTTTTTAAAGTATGGAGAAAAAGATTCAAAAGAATTATAAAGTGTAAATAAGCATGGATTTTACTTTAAACTACCCTAGGAATAATAAATAATTAACGACTATTTGACGCTCTTAATTGATTTTTAATTGAACATAGGTTAACATGTTGCGAGAAACTTTTGTTGCGCATCATACAAAATCAAGCGTTCACTCAAGTGGATCTCGCAAGGTAGACAACTATGGCAGATTTAGGACGGGAAATTTCAACACAAAAATGGTCTGTTATTTGTTTTTTGGGGAAAATAATGCAAATTTACTTTATTTTAAGGGCATTATTATGAATATTTATCTCCATTTTATATAGTTTAGCTGTTTAAAACGCATTCTAGCGGTAGCATTTAATAGGAACAAGTGTCGGCAAAAAGTGCCGTGTGGCAGCCGTAAAAAGTTGCCCCGTACTTCACTTCAGTGTTGTTATATTTTCTGGTCCTTCGGGATCATTGATGCCAGCACTATAAAGTGTTGAACTTTGTTTCCAGAATTTTGACTGCATTTCGGATAGTCGAATCAATTGCACAAGCTGTCATTCGTGACCGGAAATGACGCCACGAAAATATGAGAACCCCCGAAAATATGAGAACAAGGTATACTGGTGAAATGGGAAAGTATTTCCTTCATTTTAAATTGAACTTAAGAAATTAAAGGTGTATCATTTTGTTGTGATGTATTTAAAGGTATAATTTTCATAACCTTTGTTGTAAACATTATCTTGTTCTTTAACGCCTGTCGAAATCGATATTGATAGAATATTTTGCTAAAGCGAATGGCTAGACCATGTGTCCTTCCTTTTATCTTAGAAGTAACAGCATTTATGACAAAAAATAATTATACCAACTGGTTTTAAATCGTACAGGAATAGACATTATGGTTTTACGAAATGGCTTTTTTAATCTACGTACGAGTAATGTAAAACGTCTAGCCTACACCATAACTTAGATGTCATTGTCTGGTTTCTTTGTAAATTACTAATTTGTTTCGATTTGTGAGTTTTGATTTTTTTAAAAATAGCAAGCAAACCAATCTAATCATTTCTAAAATTATTTGAAAGTTGCATTCGGTTTTCAAAATGACGCGCTTTATTGTAAATTAAATCCAAAGTCTTATGTCCGTTCGCTCTTGTTTTTAGCCCCTACCGGTTAAATCCTTCGTCCGTGCATCAGTCTGTCCGTCAAAACTGATTACGCAAAAGAACTGAAATTATTTTTTATGAAACCTGAAATCTTGAAAGATGCCAGTCTAGAGATTATGCACGGCCTGTTCTCCTTCCTATGTTGAAAACTTTGGTTACTATGGCAACAAAATTACTTAAAATACATAATTATAACTCAAAAACTGGATCATGTGATAACGCATAAGTACTGGAAACATTTTTTTCGAATCCTGACATTGGTAGGTGGCAGACCCGAGATTATGCACATCTTTTTTCTTCTTCCAATGTTGAAAAATGCGGTTGCTATCGACTTAAAATATAGCAAATATAACAAATATAACAAATATAGCAAATATAAAGGTATTTGAGATTATTCAAAAGTGCAGAAATAACTGATGAAACTTAAAATATGGATAGATGGAGAAATGACAGTATGGCGATTATGCACGTCAATTTAAGCTTGACAATATGGAGTGCATTGAGAGCTATCGCACTCACCCAGTGTCGACGACATCGTTCAGATTTCTGATTATGTTTGTACGCAGTAATTTTTTTCACTATAACATTTTTAATTCTTAAGGTATTTAATTTAAACTTTATATATATGTTTCTGATCATCAATTACTTTATATATGACAAGGTTCCTAACTCTAGCACCAAAATTATCTGCATTACCCCCCTTGAACGTAGAATTTGTATAAAGAAATGCTGTTTGTTTTGTGTAACTTTTTTAATTTTTTAATGTTTAAAGATTTGTCTCTTATCCTCACTCCACATCATATGTGGCAAGGTCAATAATTCTATTATCTATATTATTAGAATTATCATCCTTGAATTTTTTATGAAATAATGATGTATTTTTTCTGTAACTTCTTAGTTTATTAAGATGTCTACTTCAAACTTCAAGTTAATGTTTCTTAATTATGACTCAAATCATGTGTGAGAAGCCTCTACTCTAGCTAGGCTATTATTAGGATTATATCTCTATTGAACTTATAATTTTTTCTACGAATTATAATTTTTACTCAAACTTCTTCATGTCCAAAACTTCAAGGATTTACTTGAAACGTCCAGATCATGATCAAATGACATGATATATAAATCTAGTGTCTATATTTCTAGAATGATCTCACCCTTTAACTTCGTGGGTTACTTCAAATTTTAAACATATGTTCATTATCATCAGCATCATCATACGTGAAGAGGTTTATAAATCAAGTGCTTGGGTTTCTATGATTATATTCATTTTGACTTGGACTTTATGGTATTATTATTATTATCATTTTCTTCTTTCTGCTTTAAATTATATATATTTGAAAATTATTTCACTTTTTTTTATAAATGGTATCTCCTTTAGACTTAGGAAAACTGTTCTTTGTTACATACACATGTATGACAATGTTCTTATGTCTAGCTTCTTTATTTCACGATTTATCTCCTCTTTCAGACTTTTGCTTTTACAAATGTTGCAACCAGCTGGGATGATTTATCATTTACTTTCTGCCTCTGAATGTCCCTAAAAATTACTTCCTGGCATCACTTTTAAAGAACTTGGAACTTTTACAACATTTTTTTCTCAAGAAAGAGAAACGTTTAAACATTAGTTATACATACTTATCTTGAGAAAATTGGATGTTTTGATTATCTTTTGTATTCACATAATTTCCGTATTATGCAGGGAAACATAACACATTACTATGATACAGACAAACTTAGAACTCAAAAGATTAAGTTCATTCATGTTTATTGTGTATCGAAATGGCTAAACTAGTTTGTTGAAATTGATTTTCCACACGTGAAATTGGATAAAATTTGTATTGAGTGTGCAAAAAGCGCTGCATTCCTATTCATTAATTGTATAGAGGGGTATATTTGCCGTTATTTTTTAATTATTTGCTTTTATTGTTTTAATTACTTATAGAATGTCAAACACCTGTGGTCTCATATTTTACCATTATATTTTTCTTTAAGTGTATATGCTAGTAGTAAATTTAATATACAGTCTGTAACCGATTCAGTGTAATATTTACGTTTCTATTTTGACATTGATTATATTTGGTGACGGCGTGAGCAAATGGTTATTGCGCCGAACTTGTAATTTAAGGATTGCTGGTCGCATTGATAAACTTTACTTAACATTAATTGTTTTGTACTGGTTTGTTGTCTATCAGCTTATAGCTTCCTACACAATCCAACTAAATTAATTCTATCAAAAGCTATGGTCTGTATTGATTTTATTATATTGCTTCAGTGATTGAATATCTATAAACAAAGATACTTAGTATACAATCAATTTCACATACCATGTTCTGCTGAAATAGATGTTTTATCAGACGATCAAGCTGTTTCAACAGCATGGAACTCAAGAAAAGGCTATTAATTAATAACAAATGTTACATAAATATCAGGCATCAATCCCATCCCATGCACGGCTCTAAGAAGCAAATCTTTATATTAAGTGGCATCCGTTTTATATCATTCTTAATAATGATAGTAAATAGTTACATAGTTACATAAAAAAAATCATGAAATAATTTGATTTGTCCATCACTTATAGGAAGATAAACAAATATAATTATTGTTTCTGACAGTAACATATATTTAACTACCAATATATAAAATTGTAAACACTATCAAACCCATTTAACCGATTGTATAGTTTATTCAGTTAATTCTGCAGACTTATTCCCTTAATCTTCTGTATAGTTTTTTCTGACATCATTAAACAATGATGTGACAAGTTATCTCGAAGAATGGATATTTCCAGAACATTTTTCGTTTGATTGCTTCAATCAAACAAGGTTTGCTTCTTACCGCTTTTTCCAAGCAATTAAACAACATTTCCGTTCATCAAACTGCTGATTTTGTTTTTAACTCAGTTAAATATTTTTAAAAAGAAATAATTAAGGAAAATTTATAGGATCAGAACTTGAAATTAAAATGAATGCGTTATTTTATTTCCAAGGAAAAACGGATTGCTATATCAAAACT